GACACTCAGTATTAACCATCACAAGCACCAGCCCCTTGATGCTGTCAAGAGAGTGAGTCCCTGTGAGATCTGGTTGTTTCTAAGTGCATGGCATCTCCCCCACTCTCTCTTGCCCCTGCTTTCACCATGTGACTGACATGTCTGCTCCCTCTTTGCCTTCTACCACAAAGGGAAGATGCCTAAGGCCTCCCCAGAAGCAGTTGCTGCTATGCTTTCTGTGCAGCCTGCAGAACCATGAGCCCAATAAGCCTTTTTTCTTATAAATGACACAGCCTCAGGTATTTCTTTATAGCAGTGCACAAATGGCCTAATACAGAGGGAGAGACCCTATTTTGCTTGAAGATAACACTTCAGCTCTTCATCACTATCCTATCTGCTAAAGGCAGTAATTTCTAATCATGGCTGAGAACAAATGAAACCTCAGTCAAATGTTTTAGGAATGAAAAAACAGCAGTAACAATAATACTCATTTATTGAGCACTTATGTTTCAGGAAATTTATATGTTATATGTGTTTACTGGTATTATGCATGTTTGCATGTGTTAATTAACCCTTACAGAAATCATATGAAGAAATTGCACGTTTTATCCCTGTTTCACAAATAAGGAAACTGAGTCTTAGAGAAGTCACAAAAGTAATGAGTAAGAGATCCAGAATTATATCTTATGAAGCCCAACACACACACAAAAATGCTCTTATTACTCCACTCAACTGCCTCCCAGCCACAAGAGAGCTGGTTTCAGAATCCTGATATCCTCCTCTCTTCATCCCCATCCCCAGTGAATTCTGCACTTACTGGTGTCCTGGGGCAGTTTAAAAAGCATTCCAACTCTTAACCACTATAAGGAATTCTCAGCTAACCTTTCCAGCATGAGCTGCAGCAGCAAATTCCTTCCCAGGTTAGTAGGAAGCCTCAGGGCACAGAAGAGCAGGTGCTTGCCTGATCCAAGTGTCACCTGCATCTGATATATCTCATTAGCCTAGGGGAGAAACGCAGTCTGGCCTTCTCTTTCTCCCAGATGCAGTCTGGGGCACCAGAAGGAAGAGCCAAAAGCCTGCTGTGCGGGCGCTAGAGTGGCTTCTCTCCTGAGAGCATGGGAAGGGCATGGCTCCTCCTATGCTCACACTCTTATGAGTGCATGGACTCAGTTCTGAGGCAAGGCAGCCACTATCCCAGCCATGTGGCTATGGTCGGCCTTGGGCTTAGAGGGAGCAGCTTCTTCCATAGCAGCAGGTAAGAGGAGTCAAAGGCTCTCTTTCTGTAAATGTCTCCACTTTCAGTCCTGTCTTGGGGTCTGAAATCCTCCCCCCATAGACTAAAGTCTTTCAGTGAAGCTCCTTGTATCGACCAGGGTTCAAGTACAGAAGCAGCAAAAGCAAACTAAAGAAGCAGAGTCGGTAGGACACACACACTCTCTCTCTCACACACACAAATCTCTCTTTCTCTCTCACTATTGGAAAAGCCAGCAGACTGGAAAGTCTTGTACAGAAATTACAGTCCATTGTTGGGGTTTCTTCTTTCTCTGAAAAAACCTTAGTCTTGCTCTTAAGGTTCTCAACTAATTGCATGAGGCTCAGGTTTTGGAGAATACTCGCATTTGAAATCAATTGATAGCACATGTTAACCATGTCTACTAAATACCTGGATTCATAGAAGCACTTACATTAATGTTTAATTTTATAACTGAGTAATATAGCCTAGCCATGTGAGCACGTGGCACATAAAACATCACACTCTTCATAGTATAATGGAAAGGCTACCAGAATAATGGTTCTGGCTCTAACTTTCTGTTATCTTGGTGTCTTAGTTTGTTTCTATGGCTATAACAATATACTTTAGACTGGGAAGTTTAAAAACAATGTAACTTTATTGCTCACAATTCAGAAACTGAGAAGTCCAACATCAAGATATCCATAGACTCAGCATCTGGTGAGGGCCTATTCCTCAGAGATGGCACCTTTTCACTGAGTCCTCATGTGATAGGAGAGCAAGGGAGTTCACTTCATCTTATTTCATAAGGGCACTAAGCCTATTCATTGGGGGAGAGTCATGATGACTTAATCTTTTCCCAAAGGTCCCACCTCCTAACTCTATCACATTGGATATTAGGTTCCAACATATGAATTTGGGGGAGCCACTGACATTCAGACCACAGCACTTGGGGGAGTTCCTTCTTCTTTCTGAAAGTCAGTATAAAGTTCTGTAGAATAGTTAAAGAAAGTTAAAAAAAATAAGAAAAACATGAGAGTTGTCTTTAGATATTTAAAAGCGTGTGTCCTGGAAGGACTACGTAGGCTTGTTCTGTGGAATATCTAAGGGAAGAACCTGGACAATTGTTTGGAAGAATAAATGCAAGCTGGGTGTGGTGGCTCATGCCTGTAATCTCAGCACTTTGGGAGGCTGAGGCAAGTGGATCACTTGAGGTCAGGAGTTGGAGACCAACCTGGTCAACATGACGGAACCCCGTCTCTACTAAAAAAATACAAAAACTAGCCAGGTGTGGTGGCAGGTGCTTGTAATCTCAGCTACTCGGGAGGGTGAGGGAAGAGATCGCTTGAACCTGGGGGGCAGAGGTTGCACTCCAGCCTAGGCAACAGAATGAGACCTCCTCTTAATAAAAGAGAGAGAGAGAGAGAGAAAGCAAGCAAGCAAGCAAATTTAAGCTTGATTAAAGAAGTTTGTCTCACAATGAGATTCCATCATGAGAGGGCATGCTTTATTATGTACTGACTGCTTTGCCTCAGAAGATGCTCAAACAGCAATTGAAAACACATTTATTTGGCGGAGAAAAATGTAGAAGGCATTACATTTTGTACTAGATAAACTAAAAAAAAATGCCTTTCGATGCCATTATTCTTCACTGCTGGAAAGGCTTTTCTTCTTTTCTTCCTCTGGAACCTCCCTTCACCCAAAGTTTGTCAACTTACTGTGCTGTAGGCAACATAAAATGTAAACAAAGCCTGGGAGAAACATTACTAATTAGCACCTATCAGATGCATTTTCCGGGGTGCTTTATGAGATTAACTGTCCATACCAAGGTAATCTCTTAAACCAGTTTAGATGCTCTCACTCAGACACTGAAAGATGAAGCACAGTAATATTATTTGATTTAGTATGTCAAGTAAAGCATACACCCATAACTGCTGTATGCAGAACATTGCTGTGCATAGAGATCCAACATGAACTAGGAAAGCCCCTGGCCTTGGGCTGCTGTTACAGAGTGAGATACATGGAAACCTTTAGCAGACGTATTATAAGAAGATTATAGGACTGTGGCATAGGGAGAGATTATGATGAGGACAAGAAAACACATTTTTGTAGATGAGAAATTTTAGCAGGGGCTGAGATGGAAAAGACTTGAACAGATGGATGTTCTGGATAAACAAATTATGGATGAAGAGTACAGGTTGGTAGAGTCAGGGTCTCAGAAGTGTTGCTGAGTCAGACCTAGAGACAGTGAAGGACAAAGATACTATAAAGGCCATGGGATTAATAATTTTAGGACTCTTAAAAATTTGAAAAAGAAGATGGGGACCAAAACAAGGGGGAAGTTGAAAGAGAAAATAGTGACAATTTTCATTTTTAGGAAATTACCAAGTCACAGACTTTTTATTAGGGTTTTTCCTTGCTAGCTTTACAAGCCTCCTGTTTGAACATGTCACAGTGAGTTGCCATGTGCCTGAAAGACCACTGGCCTGGTGGAGAGTGTGTTGACCTCACTGTGTGGCCTTCACTACTTCTCCAAGCCTTGGTTTCCCAGGCTTCAAGATGTGTATAAAACATTCCCTGCTCTACGGGCTTGCACGGATGCTGCTTTGCAAGCTGTGAATGTCTATGCAAACACTCAGGCACTCAGGGACAAATTGTGTTGGTCCTGGGGAGTTTATGGCAGCTTTAAACTAAGTGCAGTATCAGCTATATGTTGCCACCATAACGGAGGCTCCAGAGTTGACATAGAGCCTGGTGACAGAGACATCCACCTTGTGGCCATCAAAACTGTGTGCTGGTTGTCCACCTTGTGGCCATCAAAACTGTGTGCTGGTGGAGTATGGCAGCTGCTCAGATTGTTCAGTGTGAAATTTAATTTGGGCTCCTGGGTGAGCAGGGAGGAGGGCGTGAAAGATACGACACTGGTTAATTTCATGTTTTACAGGCCCAACAACCCCAAACGTACATTTCTCAGTGAAAACTGAGAACCTGCAGGCCACTGCATGCACTGATATGCAGTCCAGGGGGAAAATGAAGATAGAGAGGAAAAAAAAAAAATAAAGAATATATCATTTCCCAAAATCAAATAAACTCAAAAAACTTCCATTTCAGCAGGTTAGATTGACAGGCAGAGAGAGGGAGGCAAAAGAGGGTTTCTTTTAACTCTTGCCAATACTTTTACGCCTAACTGCAAACACTCCTGTGCTTGGCATTCAAAGGTCCTAGCCTCTGCCCCAGTGCATCTTTCCATGGTCAGATCTGGTTTTAGCTTGTTCTTGCTGGAAACCTTTCCCTACCACCCTGTATACAGTATAAAACCTAAACTCTTAAGTGTAGCAAAAATTACCCTCTACCAGATTACCCGCGTCATCTCCTGCATTATGTCCTTCAGCTTTCATTCCCACCCAAACCCTTCTCCACCAGCAGCATTCATTGGTTGGTTTCCAAATCCATGGGCTTCTCCACCTCTCTCTGCCTTTGTATGTGACATTCCTTCTGCCTAGAATTCTCTTTACTCTGGGTCTCCCCCAGGTTTCAGGGAAACACAGTCAGTATCGACAACAGCTAAGAGTGAAAATTTTGGCATCAAATAGACCTGATACTGGCTTCTCGATACACTGAATACTGACTTTTCCCATCTGCCCACAGTCTTTGACAAATTACTTAACTCCTTTGTTAGTTTCCAGTTGTTTTCTCTTTACGGAGGAGAGAGTGTTCCCTACCTTTTCCGGTTATTATGGAGATTCAGTCAGTTAATACATGTAAAGCATGGAGCACAATGCCTGGCACATTGGTGAATGACTTATTTTAATATTAATTTAACTCATGTTTTACCATGACAAGTCTCTTAATCCTCACATGCAGACTTGGATATGTTTTCCATGAATGATCCAATTGCACCTTGAATATAACTAATTTCTGCCATCATTATGTGATACTGTTTATAATAGTCATTTGTGTGTTCCCCTCCCCACCATCAGGCTGTGTGAATGGATATATAAAGTTTAATTATCTCTGTATGCCCAGTGCTTAGACAAAAGCCCAACACAAAATTGGTACTTGAACTATGGATGAATGAATGAATGACAAAGTGAATGACTGGTCACATGCATGGGTCACCCTTGAAGGCCCAGATCAACTGCCATCTGTCCCGTGAAGTCTTAGCTGATCCTATCAGTAGAACAAAATGTCTCGGCTTCTGTGTTGTGGCTCTTTTCCAAAACCCTTACCACATCATGATCGTGTTGTGAGCTCCGCACAGGAGGCTCCATGTCTCATTCATCTCTATGAAGCCATTAGCACAGGACCTGGAACTCAGGTTAAAATTCAGAACAGGTTATTTTTCTTCTCTGTCATCATTTTCTTTCTTCTCTTCATTATAGCCATGCCTAGCGTGGCCAATATTTGGATATCACTAGGGTCAGGATGTACAGGGGCATGCCAGATGCAGGAGCAGTCATGTGGCCAGATTTAGTGCCCAAATGACATATATAATTGCAGAGTATGGCAGGAGTCTCTGGAAGATTGTCCACTGGCTGCCACAGACAGTAACATTCAGAAGCTGTTAAAGAAATAAGAAAACAAAGAAGACCTTTACTCATGAGAAAAGAGGGTCTGCGTCAGCTCATGAGCAGTTGTCTTGGGACCTGCTGGTTCTTCTGAGGAAATTATCATTAGAGTTTTGAAACAAAGGAGAGTTTTGAAACAAAAAACGTTTTGCAGCCACTCCAGATAAACAAATCAGGAGTTAAAAATAATTATTGAATTGGTGCATGCATATTTGGAACTATTTGTAGAGTATGTTTGTACATGAGAGAAAATATGCACAATATAAATTTAGGTGTGCATTTATTATCTGTCAGGCACTGGGGTAAACACTTTACTGTGTATTGACTCCCTTAGTAGACACCACAGCCCTATAAGGTAGATATTATTATTCCTACTTTAAAAATGAGACTCAGGTACAGTGAATAACTTGTTAAAGGTCACATGGCTAGTAAGTAGTAGACCTGGATTTGTATCTGGGTAGTTGACTCCAGAATTGATATTCTCATGAGTATGTAAGAGGTCTTGGGGTATTCAAAATAACTGAAAACATACTGGGCCTTTCAGAGGGTATAGGGTTGGCAGAGGGAGAGGATCAGGAAAAGTAATGGGTACCAGGCTTAATACCTATGTGATGAAATAATCTCTGCAACAGACCCCCAGGATAAAAGTTGACCTGTGTAACAAATCTGCACTTGTACCCTTGAACTTAAAATAAAAGTTAAAAAGAGAGAGACAAGGATACTGAGCTTCAAAGAAAATAAATAACTGAGAGAGGTGTGTTTGGTGTGCTTTATAAAAACATATTCAACGGGCATTTATTGAGCACCCACTACTTGTCACACCCTGTGCTAGGTCAACTGGGTGACAACAGGATAAATAGGGCATAGCCCTCCTTTCAAGGAGCTTGCCAGCTGGGAAAAATGGGTAGACCAAGGCTGGGCACCGTGGCTCATGTCTATAATCCTGGTGCTTTGGGAGGCTGAGGCGGGCAGGTCATTTGAGTTCAGGAATTCAAGACCAGCCTGGCCAACATGGTAAAACTCCGTTTCTACTAAAAATACAAAAATTAGCTGGCCATGGCAGTGCATGCCTGTAATTCTAGCTACTCAGGAAGCTGAGGCACAGGAATCACTTGAACCCAGGAGGTAGAGGTTGCAGTGAGCCAAGATTGCACCACTGCATTCCAGCGTGGGTGACGGGGAGAAAAGGAGGAGGGGTAGACCTAAATAGATATTAAGGAATTTAGTTCCATTTAATAGACTCTTTTTTACCATTGATTCTGTTCCAGGCCCTTGGTAAATAAAAATGGGTAAGACATGATTCAGACTTTCAAGATACTCACAGAGTATCAGGCCATAGTCAGTTTTGTAACAAACATACCAAATGCCACATGATCTTTTAACACTAAATTCCTCACAATATAAACCCAAAGCCCACTGTGTTGATCCCACTGCATATTACCACAGCCCCTAGTTACTGTATCTTTTAGAAGAAATGTCCTTCCAAATGAGGATTTCGGTCCTCAGTGTCTGGTCTACTCCAATGGTTGAGACTATTCCAGGCTCCAACTCACTGAAGTTGCCTTAACTGATGTGGTTAACCAGGCTTCTGTGGAATAGATTGGTTATGGTATCTGCTATGCCCAATCTCCCCTTCTAAATGAAACTGTGCTACAAACAGTGCCCTACTGTTTGTGGGTAGATGTACTTACTAATTGGACCATGCATAGTCACTTGATATAGGAAGAATCAATTCGTTGGCTGGTAGTGAAGCATGAAATAGCTTGTCCTGGTAGGGTCAGCTGAATCCATCAGATTTCTTCTCTGAGAACTAAAACCAGAAGGACAGAAAGAATTTGGTTTGTTGGAAGCAAACAGAGAAACATACTAAATAAACAATTTAATAGAAGAGTACTTGAGTGCCCCTCAGAAGGCTGAGTAGTCTGCATCACCGTATTTTCTGCCGTCTCTGAGCTGGGATATTTGACAGTCCCTGGGCTCCCACTGTGGATTCCTGAAGATATTCCCCAGACTTGCACAAGCTTCAGTGGCTACCTCTCCCTGTAAATCATAATTGATGAACGGGCTTACACCCCTTTCAGTTCTAGTGTGTGGGGACAAATCAAAGGAGGCAAATGTCAACAGACTCCTCCTGATAAGCTTTGTTGATCACGTGTTGCTGAATGCTGTCCCCCCCGACACAACACGCACTTTATACCTTCTGCTGCTGCCCCAACCCTCAACCACCATGCCATGCTTTCTGTTGAATTGGGCCTAATGATTTCAGCAAGGGATTGGCCTGGCATGATTTACTTTGGAGGTTCATGATTATAAAGACAGGACACTTTTCAGAGGGATGTGTAGCAGCAGAACACAAAATCTCTTGAACATCTACTGTGGGCTATGGATACGGAGAAAAAAACGGCTGCCCTGGGGAACGTCCTAGGGTTATGAGAGAAGCAGCCTTGTAAATGCACAGTTAGAATCTGGGATGCAAGGGGCTTGGGTGGAGCAAGCACTAGGTACTGGGCAGGCAGTGAGAGTCGACTCACTTGACCTGGAGAGGAAGGATAGTCTGTGTGTGTGCATGTCTCAGGGTTGGTCAATGAAAGTTCTGCAGGAGGTGATAGATGAGCTAAATTTTTAAAAGAAAAAGGGGTTTTCAAGGCAAAAGAAGAAAAGGAAAGGGGGCCAGCACATTCATAGAGATGAAAACAGCATATACAAAGACTGGAAGTTGCAAGGGAGTGTGGTTGCTCTGAGAGCAGCCAAGAGGGGGCTGCAGAAATGAGGCTGCAAAGATGGCAGAAGAGAGCCTCAGGGAACCTTATTTTCCTGAGCACGATTGAAGGAGGGCTGATCTTTAAGCACGGAGGCAGCTGGCTAATCTGGTGATGTCATGGAGCCTGGATTGGGGTGAAGGACACTTCATAGCCAGGACCCTGGTAAAGCTCTGTGACATGGCCGCAAGTTTACAAAGAGGGGACTGACTCGATGGCAGTTGGCTTATGTACACTTCTTCCCAGGGAGGCAGAGGCATGTGACCTCATGTGACCTTGAGGACAGCCAGTCCTTGGCTAAAATCCCCACCTTGCCATGGCCTGACCCTGTGGCTATGGGCAGGCTTTGTCACGTCTCAGAGCTTCCACTGCCTCACCTGTAAGTCAAAGAAGCAGCCTTGGGAATATCAACTGCAAAACTTGACGTATTTTATGCTGTCCATTATTTATTGGTTAATTGTAAGCAGGTGAAGTTGGGTAACTGAGCGTGCATATGTAGGTGGTGGGGGAGTTGTGCACTTCTCTGGGTGAGCCTGAGAAATGGTTGGAGCCCCAGGTGTATCTCAAAGGTAAGTGGAAATATTCTCTGCCGTAAAACTGCAACCACCTGCTCTCTTAAAAAGATCTTGTAGACCAGCTGGGGCTGACTCCATTCTGCCTTAACTTCCCCTCAGATGTAAGCAGGGCCTGTAGGCTTCATTGGCATTTCTGTTTCCATAATCGCACATTCTTTCAGAGATTCAGAGTCTCCTCAGAACTGCCATGATTTGCAGCATGCCACCATCCAATGCCCACATCCTCTGACCCACTTCCTGCTGGCTTATTCTGGTGACAGGGAGCTCACATCCCACCGCAAGAGCCTGTCTCATCCCCCTTGGCTGCTCCTATTCACTCCACCCCTGCAGGGCTCCCCTAGTGTTTTGCCTGGTTTTGTTTTGAATGACATGCTCCTTCCTTCCTCCATCAGGGCCTTTCTTCACTTACTGCTCTCTCTCTCCAGAACATTTGTTCCCGTTCACTTCACCCGGCTGAGTCACACTCATTTTTTATGCCCCATGTATTCATCCCATACTTCCAGAGGCCTTTCCTAACCCCTCACCCGCAATGGTCTGACCAGCTTATCCCAGTTATACACTGTTAGTTCCCTGCACACCTCTCTCACCACACAAAGTTGCTTATATAATATATTGTGTGATTGTTTTTGTTTAATTTCTATCTTTCCCCATGGACCAGTGATTGTCAACATATGGTGTTATTTTGCTCCCAAGGGACATTTGGCAATGACTGGAGACATTTTTCGTTGTCACAACTGAGAGATGCTATCCCTAGGAGAGACCAAGGATGTTGCTGAATGTCCTATGGTGCACAGAACAGTCCCCTCAATAAAGAATTATTCGATCCAAAATTCAATAGTGCCACTGTTGAAAAACCCTGTCATAGATTGTAAGCTTTATGTGGATAGAGACCTTGGCTGTCTTGTTCATAACCTTATATCCTGCATTGGGCCACAAGCGCCTTGACTGATTTGTAGATGATGTTAGATAAGAATCTGGTCATGGTCTTATGCTTAAATCCATGCTTATGCATCCCTTTCAATGATCACTTTTTTCACATATGGGATCTCTCACCTTAGTACTGTGATTCATACCTAAAGTATGCCATATATGCACCCACCTCCTACAACCTAATGTGTAATTCACCTCTTCCTCATCAAGTAAGGCTCCTTAGCAGTTACCACCTATGTCCGTTTGCATCCAGCACCCTCCTACATATGTTTTTGTATGTAGGTGTACCCACATAGAGGTCTGGCACACTCACTTGTACCTGCACCTCTTCCTGTCACACACATCAACTAGGCAGCAGAGGCTTTCTGTTTTATCTCACATAAAACAGGCTGAAACCAACAGGCATGCACACACACAAATACACACACATGCTAGTACAGAAAATGATGTGGGGAGGTAGGGGCCGTGCACTTTACCTCCCTGTGACGCATCCTAGCCATGGGACTCTAAAATGTGTACCATCAAAACTAGATCTGAGACCAGACATCAAGCAGAAGTATGAACTCTAACTCCTATTAAAATCTCTCTCTCACAGCCAGACACACAGACACACAGACACACACACACACACACACACACACCCCTACACACCTTTACAAATTTTCTCTGTAAAACAAGAAGTCAAACTGCAGAAAATAATTTTAATCAACGTCATGCTAGTGTGGGCTGAGGGTGAAATAGCATATTAATGCTTTTATCTCTGCTGGGTACATGGCTGACTTCGCCATTGATTCCATTCGAAGTTGCACCCCAGGTGTGTTCCCGTAGCATTTCTGCATTAAGCAGCTGCGAGACCAGGTCTAACATCTTTTATTATCTCGGCAAAGCTGCACACACTGAGTGGTGGGGCCGTAATAAAAAGATCCAATACCCCATTAGCACAGCTAAATATTTGACTTCTAAACTCAAGTGGAAAATGAAACTCAGTGCCTGGAGAGAAGATGGTGAGGGGCTGCAATGTCTGGGAACGGAACCGCAGTTCTTTCTTGTGTTATAGCAATTTAGGTTTACTATGCCTTGTAGATGTCTCTTTCGCTTAATTTTCACAAATGCTACCTGATGTAGGCATTATCATCCCTATTTGTAGGAGAGAGAACTGAAGCTTAGAGGTGTGACGTGACTTGTCCAGATGATTGGCACTTAAATCTGCCTGGTCTGACTCCCAAGCAGATGTGGTCTGTGAGTACATAGTGCAGTAGTCTTTAATCCATCTTGGTTCCCTTTTCTTCCACATCCTCTGACTCAGATGCTCAGTGTTAAGTAGAGAATTTCCTAAAGGGAAATTATGATTTCAGCTTCACATTGGGAAAGAAACTACTTTCCTTCCTTTGCTCACTTCTTGCCCTCCTGCCTTTCTTCTTTTGTCAGTCCCTTCCAACAAAACCATATTGAACCCCACCACCTCCTATGTGCCAGCTCTGTGCCAAGTGCTTGGAATGGAGCAGTGACTAAGACATATGATGTCCCTATCATAATGGATATTCCCTCTAGCAGAACAAATGGACTAACATTTCTAAATCATAACAGAAAATGATGAAACAGAAAAATACAAAGGGATGGAAAACTTGAGGGTATCTGGAAGGATGGGTTATGTAAATTGCCCTCAGACAATGACATCAAAGCTGAAATTCGAGCAGGGCTCAATCATGACAAGGTGGGTGGAGTGTGCAGATGGAGGGAATTCCTTGAAGAAACCACATGTACAAGTGCTCAGAAGGAAAAAAGGACATGAGAGCGGGTTATTATGACTGGAGGGTAAATTGGTTGTAAATTGGCCAGCAAAGTAGGCAGTGGCCAGATCTCCAAGGGGTTAAGGCACGGAGTTAAGAGGCTGTTATGCTAATACAGGTGAAAGTTGACAGTGGCTATGGGAAAGAATAGGACTTTGTCAAGATTGAATGTGTAAACAAATTACCTAGAGATCTTGTTAAAATGCAGATTCAGATTCAGTAAGCCTGGGATGGAGACTGAGATTTTGCCTTTCTAACAAGCTCTCAGGTGATACCCAAGGCGTGGTCCATGCACCACACTGCAATAACAAGATCTAGACCCGTGCTGTCCAGCGTGCTCACCACCGAATGCATGTGGCTAATTGAGCAATTGATATGTGGTTGTTTCCAATTGAAATGTAATGTAAGTATTAAGTCCAAATTCGATTCTGAAGACCTAAATAGAAAAGAAAATGTAAAAATTTCTATTAAATTGTTTTTACATTGAAATAATATTTTGTATATATTAGATTAAATACAATAGAGCATTAAAATGAAATTAACCTGCTTTTACTTTTTGAATATGCCTACAAAATTCAATCACATCTATTGATTATGGGCTTACCTGTATATTGGTTTAAATGAAATATATTATTATAATTAATTCTACCTGCTTGTTTTTACTTTTAAAAGTGTGGGTGCTAGAAAATGTAAAATTACCTATGTGACTCTCATTATCTCTTTACCAAATTACACTGCCCTGAACTGTCTCTCTGC